TCCCCTGAGATTGAAATTTTTTTGAAGGAATTCGCAGACGTGGTAGAGTCCCCAAGCGGTGTGGTAGAACTACCAAGCAAACATCGCATAGAAATCATATTAGAAAGCTCAATTCCTAAGGGACCTATCTATAGGATGTCGCCGAAAGAGTTGGATGAACTGCGAACCCAGCTTGACGAGTTGCTGGAAAAGGGGTGGATAAGACCTAGCTCCTCGCCCTACGGTGCGCCTGTACTTTTTGTACCAAAGAAAGATGGCGGGGTACGCATGTGTATAGATTATAGAAGACTTAATGATGTAAGTGTTAAAAATGTTGAGCCATTACCAAAAATAGACGATTTGTTCGATCGAGTGCAAGGTAGCAAGTACTTCACTAGATTGATCTGAAGCCTGACTATCATCAGATTGAGGTAGAGTCAGAAGACCAATACAAAACCGTCTTTCGAACAAGGTACGAGCACTATGAATTTGTGGTGTTGCCTTTTGGTCTTATGAATGCACCTGCAACTTTCCAAAGAACCATGAATGAGTTTTTCCGTGAATGGCTTGATAAATTTGTTGTCATATATCTTGATGATATTTTGATTTTTAGCAAGAGTTTAAGTGAACATTGCGAGCACCTTCGACTTGTGCTAAATAAATTGCATGAAGCAAAATTGAAGTTAAACCCAAAGAAGTGTTATTGGGCTAAGCGTCAGGTTTTGTATTTGGGGCATGTACTTGATGGTGATGGTATCAAACCGGAAGATTCAAAAATTGCAGCCATTAGAGATTGGCCAAGCCCCCGCAGTTTGACTAACTTGTGGTCGTTCCTTGGGCTAACCAACTATTACCGGAAGTTCGTTAAACACTTCACGATAATCGTTGCACCCCTTCGCAGATTGCTTAAGAAATAAACCATCTGGAAGTGGGATTCAAATTGTACGGCTTCGTTCAAACGCTTAAAAAAATGTCTAATTAATTATCCGGTTCTGAAGGTCGCTGATCCTTCTTTGCCCTTTGTCGTGACAACCGACGCCTGTCAGTATGGGATAGGTGTTGTGCTCCAGCAAGATGATGGGAATGGGTATAAACCTGTTGAGTTTTTGTCCCGACGATTGCCTAATGAGAAAAACAAGCCATTCGTGAAAAGTAGACATTTTGTGAAAACTAGAATGAGTCAAAAACTACGAGATTAATTTTCAAAAAACTATGTTTTTTTCATTTCTGGAATCCATGTTCCATTTGTAATCACCAAGTTTTTTTAGAAATTTAAACTAGTATGTTGGAAATCATAACAAAATGGAGTCAACAAGATAAACAACAAAACTAATTTAGGGAGTACCTTAAGGTTGACGGTTTGTTTGATAGAAGAAAAAATATTTTTCATGGAGTTGATGCACAAGTACACAAACAAAATCAAACTTATGGCATTTGACAAGTATAGCCTTCAATTCCCCACCTTCAATCCCCCACCGTGCCCCGCCTTCCCTCTTGCACCTTCCCCCACCTTCCCCCCCCCCGCCTTCACCTTTCTGGCCCATTTGGGTAAAACCAAGTGTAGTATCTGTTCTGATCAGTTTCATATCT